CCCCCAGCCGTGATTTTCTCAGCGAGCTCCGAGGGCTGTGCCGAGGATGCTGTGGCAACGCGGTGCCGGTACCCGGGGGCTGGCGGCCGGCGGGGCCGGGGGCGTCCTGCAGCAGCCAGGGGGGTGCGAATCCCCCCGGTCCCACGGACGGGCAGCAGGGAGGAATGAACCCCGGAGCAGTGGCGGTCCTGATCCCACGGCAGCTGTCGCAGTGGCGGCTGAGGGTTCCAGGGACATGGCTTGGGAATGAGGAGGCTTGGTCACGGGGTCCCCGTTGTTCATTCTGGGGGAGCGTTGAGCTGCGTGGGCACCCTGGGGGTGTGTTTTGGGGTGCAGTGTTGAGCTCGGAGCCTGATGCTTGCAGGGCAGCGAGGTTTGGCGCGGGTGCGTGGGAAGGTGGGATGCTCTGGAGCATGCCCATGTGTGGATCTGGCATCTGTCATGCCCTAGAGGGAGCAGGGGCCAGCGGGGGCACACTGCATAGGGCTGAGCCCCCTCCCCAAGTTTTCCAGCCCAAAGCCCCTATGTCCACAGCTGGAGGCTGCATCTGGCCATGGCAGTGCCAGGGTCTGGCGTGGCTGTGCAGCCTGTGCAGGTGTGTGGGCTGGAGCCTGGGGGGCACATCCAGCCCCAGCCACTGCACCCTCCTTCCCAGCCACAGCATCTCTGCAAAGCCACGGCTCTGCCATCCCAAATCCTCTTCCAGCTGCCCTTGCCAAGGCGTGGGAGAGGCTGCTTGGGGTGCCCACGTTTTGGGGGATGCAGGGCAGAGTCCAGCCTTCATCACACTGGGCAAAGCAGTGGTGGTGTGGAGGAGGTGCTGTTTGTGTCGAGCCACCCTTTGGAGGAGGCCCACGGAGGCAGGTCACGCATCTGTGTTGTCATGGTGAATTTTCACCCAGGCACAGGGAAACCATGACACTTCCCCAAAATCTCCCAGGCTCCCTGTGGATGTTGGGCTTCTCCTGGAAATGAGATAGAATGGGTGGGCATTGGGGTGTGCTGGTGCACTGCTGAGGTGTCAGGGAATAGCACGTGTCCAGCTGGAAAGTGAAGGAAATGCCACCCTGAGCTGCTGTGACTGTGCTGCCTCTCTGGGCTGGGCAGGAGCTGGCTGCTGCTGTTGGCTGAGCTCCCTTTTGGGGACCATCATGCTGGTATTAGCCTGGGTCAGTCCTGGGAAAATGTGGCGAAGGAGAAACAATTTTCTGGGGAAAATAATCCCCCATGGGGATTCGTTCCTGGCCCTGTCACCCTGCTGTGTCCATGTGCCAGTCCACAGGGCCCTGCCCTGATGGGTGTCAGCATCCCATGGGTGTCAGCCCTTGGTGCACTGTGGGGTTGGATCCAGCTCAGCGCCCCAGGGCTGTGTGCAGGGTGAGGGTTACAAGGCTCTTTCAGGTTGGGGTGTCTTTGCTCCCCAGAGTGGCTCCCCGGGGCCAGGCTGCCTCCCTCTCCTTGGTCCCCATCCCTGGGGTGGAGCAGGAGGATTTCCACTGCTGCTAAAAAGCAGGAGCAAAAATAGCTCTGGGTTTTGGCACGGGCACAGGAACAGGCTGCAGGGGCAATGCAGCTGTGGGGGAGGAGGGAGGGACGTGCTGGGTTTGGGCTGCCTGGGTGGCACGAGCACCCCACAGGCAGGGAGACACAGGGCCAGACCCTCCATGTCCCCTCACCCAGCAATGTCCCCTTTGCCTGTCCTGGCTGCTTGGTGGTGCTTGGTTCCCTCCCTGTAGTGGCTTCTGGGAGTGCTGGGAAGGTTCCTCTTCCTGAGCTCCCCAGGTGAGAGCCCCATAAATAATGCACAGCCACGGGTGGCACAGCTGGAGTCACCAGGACATGGCTTTGTTCTCCATCCTGCAGGCAAGGCAGAGTCCCTCTCTTTGGGGCACTGCCTGTAGATCTCATCCCCAGCTCTAGTCTGGGACTGGGATGTGGATCTGCTCCAACTGGTAGCAGTGGGAGAGCCGGGTCATTGCTGTGTCCCCACAGGCCAGTCCCTCCCCCCTCTGTGCCATCGATGCCAACTTCTCCCCAGCACTGCTGTGTGTGTCACCTCCCAGGGTCCCCAGCTGCCTCATTAACGCTGTGTTCTCATTACCTGGCTGCTGAGCCACCACCCCTGGGTTGCCAGGATGCCCACAGTGACGATGCCACGCTGGGTGTCCCTGTTGCCTGCCCCGTGGTTAAACCTGGAGCTGCAGAACCTTGGCCATGGTGGAGGGAGGGCGGGGGAGCCTGGTGGCCTCTGAGCTGGTGTTCCTGGTGGGGACCATCAGCTTTGTCCCCTCTCTGCTGCTTTGGCTCCTCTTTTGGCCCCACTTGATGGGCAAGGGCACTTGGGTGAGAGGTTTGGGATTCTCTGGGACATCCCCAGCCTGGGGACAGTGCTCAGCTTAGGGGACTCAGGGGAGCTGTGTGGGGTGGGTGTACTGGAGAGGTGGCCATCATGGGGGACACCACTGCTAATGAACCTCATGCTGCCATGCTCCTGGATGGTGCTGGAAGCACCACAGCTGGCACCTGCTGAAGGCAGAAGAGACTGAGGACATCCCGCCATGAGGAGGCAGGACAGGTTAGAGCCTGTTTCCCTGGAAGCTGAGGAATCATGGGCTTCCCCTCCTCTGCCCATGTAGTCAGCTCCTGGGTTGAACCTGGGCTGTGGTGGCCCGGTGAGAGTGGCCCCATGTGCTAATGATTATTAGCAGCTAATTGCTAATGAAGCAAGGGCTGAGAGGGGCTGTGGTGTTCTGGCAGAGATGGGATGCATCTGGCCCCTGTCAGGACTCTCCTTCATCCCCCTCAAGTGCAGGGTGGGAACCTCCATCCCTCCCCACTGGCACTGGCAGGGCTCCTGGCCTGAGTGCTTTGCAACACTCTTTGATTTAAAGATTTATCCACTTCCACTAGGAAGCCGAATGCAATATTAATGCACTGAGCAGTGTTGGTGGGAGCCAGGGGAGTCCTTGGCCAGGATGGCAGGGCCGTGGGAGCGTGAAGTGGCAATGGTTTGGGGTTTGGTCTGGGATGGCTGCTCCAGCCCCAGTGCACCCTGTTTTGGCCAGGTTATCAGCCAGGCTCTTAGCTGGGGTCTCCGTGCTGTCTGTGCCCAGGAAGCCTGTGGGGATGTGCGGTCCAGAGATCCATGGGGTTGCTGGATGGGAGGGGATTGGGGGCTGCTGTGGGATCGGGGTTGTGTTGGCTGAGCCATATCCCCTGCCTCTTTGGGGGATGCTGAGGGGGTCTTGGCTGCAGCTCAGGGTGGGGGTCCTGGCTGCACCTCACAGCCACCCCTGCTGCAGCCGGGCTCCCTTCCCCCTCCCCTTTGTCAGCATCTCGGGGCTGCTGCAGCCACCTCTTCCCGCTGCCACCGAGCCGCTGCCGTTCCCATGGTAACAGGTTAGGATGTACCCCAGTCCCCTGCTGCGCCCCAGGGACCCACTGCAGACTCTGGAGTCCCCCCACTACCCCCTGGGGCTCTGGCTCCCCAAATTGGCTTCCCCTGGTCTTTGGGTGGGTGGTGGTGGGGTTGTGGGTCAGCATAGGGCATCCAAAAATAGGTGCTGTCCCGGCGTGTTGGGGGCCTCATCCTGCACTGGGAAAAGCAGCCCCCTTTGGTCCCCCATGATGGGCCGAGCTGCCCACCCACTATGGAGCTGCCACCATCCCCCTTCTTCCAGGGGGGTGGCTCTGTCCTCCGTGCTGCAGATCCAGGCGTCCTGGCACCCATTCCCACGCTCCGAGGAGTGTGGGTGCGGGGAAGCAGGGAGGACGGCGGCTGTGGCTGCCAGCCCAGCTCCATCCCTGCCCGGGGATGGCACAGGGGTAGTGACCAGCGGGCAGGCAGGGAGGGCAGAGCTGCTTGCATGGGGCTGGAGCGTCTGGCAGAGCAGCTGTCCCTGCGCAGACGGGGCCCTCGGCCTCTCGGTTCAGTTAATTATTCAAATATAGGGAAGTGTGTCGAGCGGAGGATGCCTGCGGGGCAAGGATGCTCCGTGTGATATGTGATGCCCTGCCTGCTCGGCTGAGCACACAGCAGGGCTGGGCTGGGCTGTGGGTATGGGCATGTGTGTCTGTACGTGGCCCTGGGTATGGGACACGGGGTCAGCTGCCCGCAGGTGACCACAGGCCGGGGTGGTTGTGGTGACCCTCGGCCGTGCCAGTGCCGGGATGCTCACGGCCACCCTCTCTTCCCCGTCAGACTTCAACTATGGTGCGGACGAGTACGACGCCGAGGGCAACGAGGAGCCCAAGGCGCTGCCAGAGGGCTCGGAAACCATGCCCTACATCGATGAGTCGCCCACCATGTCCCCCCAGCTCAGCGCCCGCGGCCAGGAGAGCGGGGACGGCGTCTCGCCCACACCCACCGACGGCCTCGGCACAGGGGTAGGTGCTCGGGGCGCCGGGGCGGGTGAGTTGGGGCATGCGGGTGTCCGGCTCGGTGTGTCAGTGGTGGTCTGGTGCTGCTGTGACCTGAGGGAGTATTCCTGGTATCCTAAAACCTGCTGACCGTCTGGGGAGCAGCAGTTCCGGGGATGCCGTGCCTGTGGGACACGCTGTGTCCCTGCCCCGCCGTGCCACGCCGGGGGCAGAGCTGGAAGGGCACGGGATGGACGGAGAGAGGGGTCCCGGGGCTGGAGCCCAGCCGGGCGTGCTGGAAGCGGGGAGGGGGTTCCCGGTGTCTCCAGCTCCGGGAGCCCTTGGGACGGGGCGCAGCCGCTCCGCCGGGCTGCCGGCTCCATCTAGCGGCACTCGGGGACCCAGTCACCAGCCCGGGGGGGGGACACAAAGTGCCCTCCCCACCGGAGAACTTAGATTTAACCCCTGCTCTTCCGAGCGCATCCCCTCGAAACCCTTGGGTTTCCCAGGGTGTTTCACGGGAGGGATGCCTGAAGAGCTGCAAAGGGAAAAAAGGGATTTTTTTTTTTCCAGAATAAAAGCTTCCATAAAGCCCGGGAGCTGCGGGGTCCAGGCAGGCCTTGGCCTTGGCCTCGCGGGGCTGTTGCGAGGAGCCACTACCTGGCCCCAGGCTGGGGGATCCCTCGGTGCTGCCGCTGCCCGGGCTGGGAAAAGTTAAGGGGTTTTTTTGTCGTGGAAAGAGTTAAGCTCCTGACCCGGATGCTGAGGCAAAAGGGGGAGAGGTGTGGCTTCCTCCCCTGGGTCTCTCTGAGCAGCATCGTCCTCCAGGCACCCAGTGCTCCGGGCAGCCCCAGGGAGGGAGAGGGGGGTCCTGCCCTTCGCCGCTGTGGGAGGGACCCTCTCCCGGGGCTGGCTCCAAACTCAGGCTTAGGGCTCCTCTTCCTCCAGCACAGCCCTTCGAGCCCCAGCCCTGACACTCCGGTGCCGGATCTGTGGGCGCTGAGCTCCGTCATCAGGACCATCAGGGATAGCAGAGAGTGGCCCTGGGGAGCAGGAGGGGAGGTGCTGGCAAAGGGGTGACCTTGGGGGCTGGTGGGGCACAGTGGGTCTGGGCACAGGCAGGGATGATGACTTGGTTGCTACTAACAGGATTGGGAAGTGCTGGAGCTCAGTGCTGCCTCTGCCTCCATCTCTAGAGCTGCTTGTGCCAGGGCTTGGCAGAGCACCCTCCAAATTCTGTCCCTGTGTGTCCAGCCCTGCCAGGGGCACAGGGTTTCATGGGGGTCCCATTGTGGCACAGGGTGCCAGGTTCACTCCATTGCTCTTCTCTGGTGAGTCAGGACTGGTGTCACTGCCTTTGAGAGGGCTAGAGAAGGTTTCTGGTGGGGCATTTCATCTTGCAAGCTCCTGGGGCAGCTGTGGCTATGTTTGAGGCCTGTGACTGCTGATGCAGACACATCTTGACCCTCCCTCTCCCACCTGGGAAACATGAGTGCCATGGAAATGATGTTGGGTGTTGCCCCAGCCCCTGCTTGGGTGCTGCTGGGTTTGGCACTGTGGGTAGCATTTCCCTGAACAGGGACCATTCCCCACTCTGGGGACCCAGCTGTGGCAGGCAGGGTCCTGGCACAGTTCCCTCTTAGCAAAGTCTGGGCGAAGCCTGAGCTGTGTCATGGATAGAGGGTTGGACACAGGCTCTGGAAAGTCCCCGTGTCTGTATCCCTGCCCACTTCTCACAGCAGGAGTTTGTTCCAGGCTCAGACTGGTGCAGGCAGGAGAGATGGCTCCTGTGGGCAGAGCACATGCAGCCACAGGTTCCCCTTTTGCTTCTGAGGAGTGTGGGGAAAGCTGCTGAAATAGCTCTTGTGTTGGTGTCCCCTTCTCCAGCCTGATCTTGCCCCATTTGCCAAGGCCCACAGTGTTCCTCAGAAGTGTCCCCACGTCCCAGCTGGCCCGGGGTTGTGGTCAGGCTGGAGCAGCAGGGAGGTGCCAGCGCTGATCCCTGTGGGATGTGGGGCAGATATGTGGGAAGGCAGGTGGCTCAGCTGCATGACCCTGCCCCACATCCCCTCTGGCCTGGGAGAGGTCTGGTGCTTTCCGGGGGTGCAGAGTCAGGTCCCCGTACGGGACCTGGTGATGCTGCTGCCCTGCAAGGTCACTTCTCGCTGGTGGCAGTCCCCATGGTCCGGCTCTGCCGGGATCCAAGGAAGG